TTCTTTTAAACTTCCTTTTTTATTTGATTATGGTCAAGCCAAAATTCACATTTAGACAGTTTAGCATACAGTTTCTGTTCTCTTAGGGTCTGCAGAGTAAGTCTCAGATGATGTTCATGTTGTTCTATACTTTTGGAGTAAATCAATATGTCATCGATAAATACAACAATAAAGTCATCAAGGTATGGTTTAAAAATTCTGTTCATAAGGTCCATAAATGCAGCAGGGGCATTCGTGACTCCGAATGGCATAACTAAAAATTCATAATGGCCATACCTCGTTCTGAAAGCAGTTTTATCAATGTCTTCCGGTTTAACCTTCAGTTGATGATACCCCGATCTGAGAGCGATTTTGGAAAACACTTGTGCACTCTATAACTGATCAAATAAGTCATCAATGCGCGGTAATGGGTATTTATTTTTCACAGTTACCTTGTTCAGTTCACGGTAATCTATACACAATCTCAATGAGCCATCTTTCTTCTTTACGAACAAAACAGGAGCGCCCCACGGTAAAGTGCTAGGCCTGATAAACTTCTTATCCAGCAGTTCCTACAGTTGCACTTTCAATTCTTTCAGTTCAGTTGGGGCCATTCTGTAAGGAGCTTTCGATATCGGGTGTGTACCCGGAATTACATCAACGGTAAATTCAATCTCCCTGTCAATCAAATCCCCTGGCAGATCATCTGGAAATACATCTGGGAATTCCCTGACTATAGGAATGCAATTCACATCAGTTTTAACATTATCATCAGTAGACACAGTCAGCACAGAACACAGATATCCTTTACACCCCTTTCTAATTAATTTAACGGCTTTCACTGACGAAATCAAATACGGAGGAGGTACTACTCCACTCCCATTAAACACGAATTCAGGCAAACCAGGTGGACGGAAAACAACTTGCTTGGTCACACAGTCAATAGTGGCATGATATTTCTGTAACCAATCCATCCCCAATGTTACATCAAAATGATCAATGTTCAATGGCAGTAAATCAATAAACAGATGCATATCCCTAACAATAATTTCACATGCGGGGTACATATAAGCACATGTCATGGATCCTCCTACGGGTGATGATACGGCTAGCAGATAGTTCATGGGTTCTAAGGGTCTATAAGCCTGCGGGTCGTTGATGTTCAGCTTTGACCTGTTGGCAATGAAGACATTTGGACATAAAGTCGGCAATCTCTTTCTTCATTCCCGGCCACCAGAGATTCTGTTTCAGATCTTGGTACATTTTCGTATTCCCCGGATGGATAGACAATTTCGAATTGTGGCCTTCTTGCAGAACTCTTCTTTTCAGTTCAGTGTCATTCGGTACACACAGTCTTTCTTGAAATGAGCTCATTTCTTTCCAAAACCATTGGAAACATGGTCTATAACAACAATATGAGCATGCATGCACTAATGTCCATCCCAATGCAGTCTGTAGGCTTTGCCAAAACCTCGATGTAAACTTCGAATCCCTGTCAGAAACAATAGACACAGGCACTCCATGCAGTCTCACAATTTCATCAATATAGATAACAGCCAATTTGTCCGCATTATAGATTGTCTTGACAGGTAAGAAGTGAGATGACAAAGATGTGAACTTCTGACAACCCGGATACAATTCACTTTGTGCATCTTGAAGAAGTTTGAAATAAAACTCTGCCTTTTACCATGCCATTCAGTTGTTGGTGTTTCAGATTGTTTCACTGCTACAATGTTCGACTCGGCCATCAATGCCCGGTCGAGAACACCCACAAAGGTCGGTAGTTTCAAGACATTTATCCGGTCAAGAATTGCAATATTAAGGCCACCTTCAAATTTTCTGGCCTTCTTATACTCAGTATCCACCATATGCGGTGCATAACGGGCAAATTCAGTAAATTTTGTTTCATATTCGGCAATCGACGTGGTGCCCTGTTTCAGTTGTTCAAACTCAGTTACTTTCCTATCTCTGACACACTGTGGGAAGTACTTTTCAAAGAAGGACTCCTTGAACTGAGCCCAGGTCATAACAGTATTTGTATCGCGGATCAACATCCACCACCTTCTAGCTTCTTCTTGTAGGGTGAAGGTAGCTAACAATACTTTATTCGCTTCTGAGCACGGAAACACTTCAAATAGTTTCTCTGTTTCCAGAACCCAAGTTTCAGCTTTTAACGGTTTGAGGCCTCCCTGAAAGGATGACGGTTTCATTTTGCTGAACTTCTGGGTCAGAGCAATAATATCCCCATCATTCACATTCACATTAGGCTCCGGCTGTACCGGAGGAGGAGGAGGTGGGGGCTGTTGGTTCTGTTGTTGTTCAAGTCTAGCAGTTATCAGTTCCATCATTCTTTCCATTCTTTCCATTCTTGCCTCGGTAGATGAGGATTCAGGTTCATTTGCAGTGTTTGCGTTATCCATTTTCACTATAAGCAGTTATAACAGTTTTAAACATAAGAAGTCATTTGTTTAACACGTTAGCATGTATTCAGTCATAACTTAGTCATAACATAACCACACACTTATCATGCTCATGAGATGCCCTAATTACTTTTCTAGGACACTCTGTAGCTCATTTGGACACGTGTGTGCGGTATGACTCGTGGTTAAGTATCGCTCTGATACCACTCTATCACAACCCAAACCCGGCCCTATGGGTTTAGCACCGTAACCGGCCAGTAATCCGAGATTACCGAAGGCCTACTTAACCGAGATTACTGTTTCTCTTCACTTGTTGAAATTTGTAGCAATTTACAAGTTGAAATTAAGCCGAGATTACTGTTTCTCTTCACTTGTTGAAATTTGTAGCAATTTACAAGTTGAAATTAAGCCGAGATTACTGTTTCTCTTCACTTGTTGAAATTTGTAGCAATTTACAAGTTGAAATTAAGCCGAGATTACTGTTTCTCTTCACTTGTTGAAATTTGTAGCAATTTACAAGTTGAAATTAAGCCGAGATTACTGTTTCTCTTCACTTGTTGAAATTTGTAGCAATTTACAAGTTGAAATTAAGCCGAGATTACTGTTTCTCTTCACTTGTTGAAATTTGTAGCAATTTACAAGTTGAAATTAAGCCGAGATTACTGTTTCTCTTCACTTGTTGAAATTTGTAGCAATTTACAAGTTGAAATTAAGCCGAGATTACTGTTTCTCTTCACTTGTTGAAATTTGTAGCAATTTACAAGTTGAAATTAAGCCGAGATTACTGTTTCTCTTCACTTGTTGAAATTTGTAGCAATTTACAAGTTGAAATTAAGCCGAGATTACTGTTTCTCTTCACTTGTTGAAATTTGTAGCAATTTACAAGTTGAAATTAAGCCGAGATTACTGTTTCTCTTCACTTGTTGAAATTTGTAGCAATTTACAAGTTGAAATTAAGCCGAGATTACTGTTTCTCTTCACTTGTTGAAATTTGTAGCAATTTACAAGTTGAAATTAAGCCGAGATTACTGTTTCTCTTCACTTGTTGAAATTTGTAGCAATTTACAAGTTGAAATTAAGCCGAGATTACTGTTTCTCTTCACTTGTTGAAATTTGTAGCAATTTACAAGTTGAAATTAAGCCGAGATTACTGTTTCTCTTCACTTGTTGAAATTTGTAGCAATTTACAAGTTGAAATTAAGCCGAGATTACTGTTTCTCTTCACTTGTTGAAATTTGTAGCAATTTACAAGTTGAAATTAAGCCGAGATTACTGTTTCTCTTCACTTGTTGAAATTTGTAGCAATTTACAAGTTGAAATTAAGCCGAGATTACTGTTTCTCTATCCTTGTTGAAATTTGTAGCAATTTACAAGTAGGTTAGACCGAGATCACTGTTTAAATACTTGTTGAAACTTGAGAAGAAGCTTGCAAAGTTAAACATTGAATAGTATATGTTAAACACTTGTTGGAATTTATGAAGAGTTCGTAGGTCTGTGTCTTGCCGAAGTAAAACGTTATTGTACCCGAGGTACGTAACCCCGAGAAGATTGTACAAAGGAGGCAAAATGGGAAGGCATGCAAAAAATTCCAAGTATAGAATCATACAGACGCAATCAAGAGAAATTAAAGATTAAAGCGTTCAGACAAAAACAGTTGCAGTTGTATACAAAGAAGGCACTACGGCCAACCAGAAATAAAGTTGTGTTCAACAGAAGCAGAAGATACATCAGCTAAATAGAAGAGCTTACATTGTTTCAAAACCAGAAGTACAGAAAAGCTTATATTATCCAAAGAAACAAAAAAGAGTACGGAAGACATCCAAAGTTATGATTCTTCAGTTTCAGGAGCGATTTGGGTCTGGACCTTGGCCGATTCCTGGGGAACTACTTCGGCTGCCTTCTCTGCAGCCAGCTCGGCATCAATCTCTGCAAGCGTTTTGTCAAGACTTCTTTCAGCTAAGAGAAGGTCGGATGATAATTGCCCTGTAACAGCTTCCCTGAGCGCCTCCCCAACCTCATCACCCTCTTCATCCAAAGTTAAGTCCATGACTTGCTCAGTTGGAGGAGGGGACTTGGCCTCAGCAGCATCCTTGGATTTCCTCACCAAGGCCTCATCATCATTGTTATCCTCATCCTCGACTTCAGACTCAGACTCAGATTCTTCTTCGGCCTGACTTGGAGGTGGAAGAGGAGGAAATGAGAGAGGAATAGCATCGGCATTACGGAAAGGCGAGTCAGCAGGGAGATCAAGTTTTTTTATCAAGGACATCCAACTAAGGGAAAATCCCCTGTTGCATGCCTGCCTGACTTGAAGCTTGTAATCCTCAGTGACGTCGACCACGCCCTGAGCATATGCCTTCTTATCAGCCTCTTTGATTTCGGCTTCCTTTGTGGCCAATGCTTCCTGAAGTTCCTTCTCGGCCTGGGCCGCTCTCGCCTCGGCCTCTTTTTTTTGAGATTCAACAATTGTCTTGATGGCCTCAGCAGATTCGGCCTTTTCCTCGGCTAAGGTTTGGGCTTTGGTGGCAGCCTCAACCTGGTCTTTCAGCTTTTTTATTTTTGAAAGAAGAGTTTTGTTATCCTTTTTAAGGGCAGAAACCTCCCTCCTCAGGTCGACCAGCTTCTCTCGATTCTGGAAAGATTGCATTGAAAATGAGTGGGCATGCTGGATGGCCTAAAAAAAATAAAAATAAAATAAAATAAAAGTGTTAGAAAATATTTTTAAGTACAAAATAGAATGGAAGAAAAAGTACTGAGCATGAACACTTACTTGAACTGAGTGTTGGAGCATTAGGACATAGTTCTCATATTTACTATACCCGGCATTCCGCTCCAAATCACGAGGAAGGAGCAACGCCGTAGTAAGGGCAACGCCGACATTTATGCCATCGGCGCTTTCATTGGTCATTATGGGCCTATCTTCCAGAGTAATCTGGGGAGCCTAAGGAACATCAGATTTTTTGGACCCCGAGGTCGTCGCAGACGATGACCTCGGCTTCTTGGGTTGAGTAGATTGTGATGGCTGGGATTTTGCACGTCTCTTCCTAGCGGAAGGTTGAGATTTGCTGCTTTCAGCCAGCTTGGAGATGGGTAGAGCATCCTCAGCCTCAACCTCAGTAGCCTTGGCCTTAGACTGGGCCTTCTTAGTTCTTTTTGGCTTCGGTGAGGGCAAAGGTTGGGTGGAATAGCATCGGCGTCGGTTGGAAGGTCGGCTAGGAGATCTTGGGCAACAGGCTTCAGGCGACCCATCTCAGCAGTTTTTACGAGTCTTCGCCGACGTTTTCTTTCTGGTATTGGGATTAAGTATGGGGCTGAAGTTGATGGTTGGTCGGCTGGATCAGAGGTTGACCCTTGGTCAGCCCGAGATGTTGATGTTGTTTGCAAAGTGGTAGTAGAGGGAGGAGATAAGCTCTTCTTCTTTCTTTTTGGGACGTCGAGCAATGTGGATTTGTATGTTGGAATAAAATTCAGTAACAGGGGAGCCTTGCGCTTGTGGATTGGAAGGTCTAGGAGCTTCTTTAAATATTTTCCTGGGAAGAAGGATTGGCGGAAGTTTTTTGGTGGCTGATGAAGATCTGCAGGACAAACAAACAAGACATTAGAAACAAAAAGTTTTGAAGACTTGGAAAAGAAATAACTAAGTATTGGCGCTGGGCTCTTACCCTTGCCCTCTTTAACTGTTCGAGGAAGAGGGTAGAGGTGAACATCTTCGTCTGGACCAAATTCCCAATTTCCCGAAGCAATGACAAAGTCATCCCCGGCTCCCTTGTTGGAGTCCGGGAGGTCGGCTACAATTTTGAATTCAGTAGACCTCGGCTTGAGGTAGTAGACGTAACCTTTTTCCTTCAGGTTAAGGGGGCACATGGTATAACAATATTGTACATCGGCAAGGGTGATCCTAACATTCTCCTGCCTAGCTAGGGCTATGATACCATTGATCACTCGATAAGAGTTTATGGCAAGTTACATAGGGTTCAACTTGTAAAAATGAAGAATTTCGCGAAAAAGAATGTTAAGTGGGAGTCGAAGTCCGCACTCAGTAAAAGCTACTATAGGAAATGGCATTGAATCATCTGTTGGCATGATGGAGTCACTATCTTCAGCTAGCCTCAGATGGACATCGACAGGAATAGAGAACTCTCGCCTAAAGTACTCGAGTTTGGTTGGGGTATCTACCCTATGTCTCCACATACCCATAACGTCGGCCTAAAAACAGAGGGCAATGTTTCAGAAAGAAAGGTGTTCTTAAGGGGTTATCCGGACCTCGGTGAAACCCTAGGCATATGCTGGTAAGGATTGTTTCAGTTTTCCCTAAATTAAAGGTTCTACAAACAAATCCCCAGCCTAAGAACTATGAAGATGAAGATCAAAGGCACAGATCTGGGAAGGAAAAACAGAAAACAAGAAATAAAGAATGACGTTTCAGAAACAAAGAACAGAGGCATGGTTCTTAAAAGCGACAGAAATACAGAAGTAAAAGGTCAAGAACAGTGGCAAGAAAAGTGTTAAACAGTACAAAGTGTTCAAGATATGAGTAAAATCATGAAAAAGACGCATCCAGATGAATAGTTCAGCAAATCAAAGGTTTGAACAGCGCAATAATGGCAGTAAGTAAATGAAAACACATAAAAGAAATTGAGAATAAGAGGAACAGAGGCTTACCAGAACAAATGAAGCCGGAATGAAAGTCGCCGAGGCAAGGCAACGGTTGTAGAGAAGACGGAGCAACGAAAGCTTCGCTGGAATGGAAGAATGAAGGCAGTTGCAGAACTTGGAGCTAGGGCAATGGCGGGTTTGAGAAAGTTTAGAGAGAGAGAGCCAGAAAAACGAATGCAAAAGTAAAGAAATGAGGATGGAGAGAAAAGTTTTGTAAAAAACTTGAAACGGCGGCAAAAAGCAGGGCATTTATTACGCCTGGAGCAACGCACACGTCAGACGGCGCAAATGGGTGAAATACAGTTTTCAGGCGCGTCACAGACACGGGCCAATGAGGATAAAGCACGTGAGAGGAACGGTTGAGAAAAGGTGCATGACAGCTCATGCGCGTGGAGGAGTTCGTTTGAGTTCTTGTTCTTTGATGAAGGCATATCGGCCTAAAATGAATGATCTCGGCCGAAGAGTTCTCATGCCGAGGTTGTCACGACCCAAACCCGGCCCTATGGGTTTAGCACCGTAACCGGCCAGTAATCCGAGATTACCGAAGGCCTGCTTAACAGTAATAGCCGAGGTAATAGAACCTAGGGGGCAGTTGTGGGGATGTATTTTCTGAATACTAACACGTGGCATGGTGATGCTGACTTGTCAGCCGAGGTGCCACGTGTCCTGGTAGTTCTGCCGAGGTTACCTAGGCAAGACCGAGGTAATCTCCGAAGATATCAGAATCCGAGATAAGCGGATAAGGGACAAGAGTCCTAGAGTAAAGAGAAGACTTTGCTAAGATAAGGATAAAGCTCTTAGGAAATTTATCTTTATCTCTTGAAGTGTCCAAAGTCGACATTGAATTGGAGTCCGTAGAAGTCAGACTTATAGTGGGACTTGGATTTAGTAAACTATAAAAGAGAGGCACCCCCGTGGGTCTAAGGTACGCAGGTTTATACTCAAGCTTGTGAGTTTAGCACTTGATTATCTTTGAGAGATATACTGACTTGATCGTCGGAGTGCCCCCGAGTGGAGGAGCCACCGCCGGAGCCTTTTCTTTCTGTTGCAGGTTCCTTGAAGCCATCTATTCTGCCGGTGCTCTCCAGCTGATTACTAGGCGGGCAGTGTGGTCGGAAAATCACCCACACACTTATAAATATAATTTATTCATTTTTTTAAATTATAAAAATTGTTTAATTTTATTTTGAGAGTCTATAACAGACTTTTAGATACAACTTTTTACTTATAATTTATAGAGTATAAATATTTTAAATAAATTAAATTGATAGTAGTAATTTTGAATATAAATTAGCTTTAGGATTAATTAGAAAGAAAAAAAAATATTAAAAGTTAAAGTGGAAAAAAAAAAAATTCAAGGGTCAAATTGAAAAAAAATAATCAAACATAAAGGGAACAAAGTGTAATTTGCTCTTTAAATTTTATCTTTTGATTTGTAGTTATCAATTTTTAACTTGAAATATTTGATATGATTTCTACTTATAATTTTATTAATTAAAAAAATTTAAAATAAGTTAAAAATATTAGTTATCTACAAATTAGGAAAAATACTATCTAAGAAGAAAATGATATAATTTCATACTTTTGAGTCATAATTTAAAATAAAAAAAAAATCTTAACCAAACACTATATGAGATATAATCAAAGATTTCAGAGTCATAACTAAAATATTGTCATGATTAAAAAAGAAAATTGATCATAACTATATAAGAAAATAACATAATTAAAGGTGCATATAATATATTCTTTCAAGGAGTGTGTATAGTAGAATTTTTCACAAACTAAAAAAGTGCACTTATTTCATCTTTTTATCTTTTTTGGGTCACATCAATCAATATCTCCTCTCTATTTTTTCTACACATAATACAAGAAAAATAAAAAAGTACACTTATTTAATTTTTCCAAACTTGGCCTGATATTTACAATGATCTAAATAAACATACTTTTTAACTTTTTACAAAAAAATATATAAAAAAATAAAAAAATGATGTAACATAAATAAGTACACTTATTTAAATAAGTCTACTTATATAAGTTATGTCAAACACTCCAACATCTACTTTTTAACTTTTTACTAGATGCAAAAAAATAAAAATAAAGAAGTGACCTAATTTAAAAAAATATAAAATATATACCAATACAAGAAATGGTAAATAGTGTCTAATTTTTTATTTTTAATTATAAATTTTGAGTTTAAAACCAAGTTGTACTCAACACATGCTCACTTTCAATACGCAGGCCATGTGATGCAAACAAACAAACAACAAACAAACAAATGCTAACATGCGCCAACACGACAGCTCACTTTCACCCCTACTACGAAAATCCCAACTCGATATGCATAAATTAAAATCATTATATGGTTGTTTGTGTTTGTGTTTATGTTTTGTCAATCACCGAAAATCCAAAAACCCAAATCGACAACACACACATTTGCATTCATTTGCAGCAGCAATAGCCAGTGGCAGAGGCTACTCACTACACTGTCCTTTTCAATCTTTTTGTTGATGGGTTTGCTTGCTTCTGAGTCCTCTTCAATGGGTTTTCACTTTCTCTGACTCTCTCCATTAATTTGACCTATCAACGCAAAATGCGTGTGTAAAGAAACCCTAACTGTTACTGTCGGATTTTCCTTCACAGGTATCTTCTTTTGGCACTTTTTGCTTATGAATTTGTGTTTATATATAGACAGAGAGAGATAGGGAGTGTGTTTGTTTTAGGGCTTTTTTTTTTTTTTCCTTCTTTTTTTTTGATGAAAATGTGGCTGCATTTCTTTGTTGTTTGAGGTCATTTGACTCTTGTGAATGGTGGGTTGTTGTTGTTGTGATGAAGTTTGTTTTAGCAGGATTGGAGAGGTTTTAGCTGGAGAAGAAGCGTCAAAATGTTTGGGTTTTCTCGCAGACGAATGAAGATTGGGAGGTAAATCCCTACCCATACTCTTGTATAAATACATGAATATATATACTCCTATGTTCCATAATGTTATGTATATATAGATATGGAATTTGAAAATGTATGGTAGTTGTGTTGAATGTGAAACTATGTTGGTTTGTGTGCTTAGTTCTGAAGACTCTGAATAGGATAGAAGTTGAAGAATTAGAAGCTTTACGAATTTGAAACCACCAAATTAGTTAGAATAGACTTCTTTCACTTTTTGTGTTAGTCCTAATTTTCTTAGATTTTCTTAAATTTTGTATCTCATAATTACCCAATATCTTTTTATTTATTATTATTTTTTTTTATAGAACTTTATATTTTTGTGATCAGATTTGGGTTCTAATGATGAGAAGTTTGGGATGTGGATTGAGATATATAATTTTAAAATAAGAAATCGGCACTTGGGCTCTCCTTGTCTCCATGGTAGTCACAGTCTTATTATTTTCTTATTGGGTTAATGCTAGTGAAGGAGGTAGTAGTTGCTGTGGGTGGGAAGTGGTGAAACCTTTGAAGTGGCGGTGGAGGTGGTAATTGCGGTAGTTGTAATCACTACCTTCCCCTTCTTTGTTGGGTTGGGTTTCCTAATTTGTGGGTTTTATTTTCTTTTTCCCTGTGCTGAAGTTCTTCTTACTCAAAGATAGGTGTCTGCTTTAGAAACTAATTGTTAGATACATTTTTAATGCTTCAAATTCTGATAAATGAGATAGCCCTTTGAAATCACAAGTTACTCAAATGTTATTTTTCTAATATAATTTTTATCTTGCCTTAGGTTGAAAACTCCACTTTCAGAGTCTGCTCATGGAACTAGAAGTCCAATAAGACACCCAAAGCGCAGTGGCAATTCCAATGTAAGGATTCCAACTCACTTACACATTTTAGTGTTGCATCATTAACCATGTTTGTTAAATTCATCAAATATTACAGGGTGAAGGTGTTACACCTCCAATTAATAATTCTGATGAACCCAATTTTCAATGCTCATCTGCTGCACCTGATCTTAATGATTGCACTTTGGGGAACTCTGAGAATTGGATGGGGCTGTCAATTGCTGGGGACAAGCCTACACCTCGTTTCAATGTAAAACATTTTTGACTTTCAGTGCTGAGGTTGCTGTGATTATGTATTATTACAATTAACAGGGTACTGATTTTTTTATCCAAAAGTGAAGACATTACTTTTTTTTTTCTTTTTCCTGATTTTTTTTCTTCCCCCCCTGAATAGCATGCCGCAGCTGTAATTGGAAACAAGATGGTTGTAGTTGGTGGTGAATCTACAGACGGAATGTTAGAAGATGTGCAGGTAGAAGGATGTGACCTTTTCTATGAATATATGTTGTAGATAGTTCTTGGGGTACATTAGTCATTTAAGTTCTTCACGTTGAATTTGCATAATAGGTAGCATTAGTGGGGAATCATTAATTTACAAACCTTAGGTACTAACACTTATATAAGAGATTATACCATATGGATCCATTTGTTCAGATTTTTAGCCGCTATGTTTTATTTATTTCATTGCTCTTTGCAATGTTTTATTTATTTCATTGCTCTTTGCAGGTGCTTAACTTTGACAGATTCTCCTGGACCACAGCTTCGTCAAAGCTTTACCTTTCACCAACTAATCTGCCACTAAAGATCCCTGCATGCAAGGGTCATAGTCTGGTATGACTGCATCTTAACTTTGGTCTCGTAATATTTTTGTGCACAATGCTTGCTTTTAGTCAAAACTGAAATGCTGGGTAAACTCTGTCTAAATCTAGAATATGTGTGTATTCAAGAAACTGATTTAAAAAAAACTATAAATGCTGATCAATGAAAAGATTATTAGACCCCTAGGTGTTGAATTTCGCTTTTATGTTATTGATTCTTCTCCCGAAGTAAAAAGATTATGGTGTCACATATAGGATTGTTATATGAAAATTACATGAAAGCAGGTTGGTTTAGGTCCATTTAAGGGGCATTATGAGAGTGACACTGAAAAACATCAAGTTATCATAGCCTAGGAGCCTTGTGGAGAGTTTTTTTGTTTTGTGTATGGAGAGTCTATATTGCATGATTGTTGAGTCAGCATCCATTTAGTTGCTTAACTGAATGATGGTGGGGAACCAAAACTTCGGAATTGTTCCCATGCTGAAAGGTATGTTTGTCGTTTGTGCATTCTAGGTTTCTTGGGGGAAAAAGGTGCTTCTCATTGGAGGGAAAACTGACCCAGCAAGTGACAGAGTTTCAGGTTGCCGTGTGGTTGTTTACCACGATTTTGACTGCTTTCTGTATTCTGTTTGCTCTTTTACATGATCTCAAAATTTTCAAACTTTCGCTTTTGCAGTATGGGCATTTGACACAGAAACTGAGTGCTGGTCACTTATGGAAGCAAAGGGAGATGTTCCGGTACTCTTTCTGACCTGAGGATTTGAAAAGTGAACAACTTGTCATTGGTTTCCTGATACATAATATGAGGCACTATCTACTGAGATGGACAGGGGTTTTTACCTTGTACTCTGAATCAGTTTTTTTTTTTTTTGGTTATGATGGTCTTAGTTTTTTTTCAAAGGAAATGATGAGTTAGCATCACATGTGGTAGCAATTAGCAGTTTCTTACTTTATAAAAAAAAAAAATTAATAATAATTAATTAATAAAGGGGGTGTTAGGAATTGACCCTTCCTAACCAAGATCGGTGAGACATGAAATAACAAATAAGAAAGAAATTAACGAATCAAACAAATCACACACACAAGAACACAAGGATTTATGTAGTTCACCCCATAATAGGATTACGTCTACGGTTGGTGCGATTTTGACTATGATCAGAAAAATACAACTCTCTCTTAACCTAAAAGAGGCGCTCCCTCAAATCCCCCTATTGGACCCAGTGTTTGAGTGAACAGTATTTATCAGGGTCCACCGACCCAACAGGGGGAACTACAATCGGGTGAGAGATGGGAAAATTTTTTACGAACACATAGGTGTGCAAGTGTCTGTGGTGGGGTGCAAATGAAAGGCTGTGGGTTGCATCCCTCCATGTGTTGGTAATTTTTTTCTCAACTCCCAACTGTATATAGTTCCCCCATTAATAAATAAGTGGTAGCAATTTCTTTCTGTTAGTTGAGAAATTGTTTGGTAGTGCACTTGTGCGTTGAATTTGTATGCACTGTGATCCCTTTCTTGAGAAATATTTTATTGATATGCTTTCCCTTTTGAAGATCCTATTTGACAACAATGCACAAAATTTTTAACTAAAATGGATATGCATTGCAGGTTGCTCGCAGTGGTCACACTGTAGTTAGGGCAAACTCTGTTTTAATTCTATTTGGAGGTGAAAATGCTAAACGGAAGAAACTCAGTGATTTACATATGTTTGATTTGAAGTCTTTTACTTGGCTTCCTCTTCATTGCACGTGAGTAGTCTGCAGCATATTGTATCAAAATATTTTCTGAAACGATGGAAAAAAAATGTTGCTTGTCACCAATTTCAGACCTTAATTCTTTGTTGTACATCAAATTCCATTCAGAAGCTATTAACTAGTTGCCTGGCGCACTGTGCATGTGTGCAGAGGACAAGGACCATCTCCAAGATCTAACCACGTGGCTACTCTTTATGGTGATAAAATGCTTCTAATTTTTGGAGGAGCATCGAAGTCGAAGACTTTGAATGACATATATTCACTTGACTTTGAGACGGTGTGTTCAACTTTTAAATTTTTCTAGTTAATATTATTGGTCTTGGTGGTTGACATCTGATTTCTTTAGTGATGCAAAATCACATCTTATCTGCAAATTTCTGATACATGCATATGGATGTTTTCTTCAGATGATATGGTCGAAAATTAAGATACGAGGTTTTCATCCATCACCCAGAGCTGGCTGTTGTGGAGTCCTGCGTGGAACTAAATGGTACATTGCTGGGGGTGGTAGCAGGAAAAAACGTATGTCTCACAATCTGAGAAGAATGTATTCAAACTTCTCTAATCTGTTTCTTCCAGGGTGCAACTCTGAATGAGGAACATAATTTCTTTTTGATGTCGGGTTTAATGTGACAATTTGGCTTATTGCCTACTCTTTTCATCTATTTTTGTTATGATGGTGACCATCTCATGTGTGGTTTGGGACTTTGGGACCTATGTATGCATTCTAAGAGGAGAAGATTAAAAGCAGAAAGAAGAATATACTTATATTTATTAAAAGTGGGAAGAATAATATAAAATCAAAGAGAAGGATTACCCATGTAACTCCTATTACTTGAAAGAAAGGGAAAATGGCAAAATTAGTTGGCACTTGAGACTATTGGTTTGAATTTATTATAATTTTGCTATTGTTTGGTTCTTTTATTGCCTTTGGTTGTGTAGTTATTTGGTATCTCCAAAGAATCCAATGACTCACACTTATGCATGTCACCTAATATGCATTTTAGATTTCTGTTTGCTCTTACAGAGAAATTTCTTGACTTTTCTTTCTATTCTATTCTCTCTGTTTTCCAGGACATACAGAAATGTTGATTTTTGATGTTTTAAAACAAGAGTGGTCTGTTTCTGTTGCATCTCCTCCATCTTCTATCACCACCAACAAGGTACAGTTTGTTGATTTTGCAGCTTGTCCAAGTCTAATAAAAGTAGGTCTTTACAACATTATTATTGGACTTTCAACAAAGTGTGACTTGTAGGTTTTATTATTCATTGGAAGGTAATTAAAATGAATTCCTGAGAATGTTTATGTTATGCTTTCTCGTTCACATTTTTTCAAATTATTTTCTGCTTTCCTTTGGGGTTGGATGGTTTGGCCAATTGGCCACACCTAACATGGCTGTGATTGTCAACTTGTATGCTAGTTAGAATATAATACTGCAGGACTTGAATCTTGTTCTCTTCTTTTTTGTTTCCGTGCTACCAGTTCTCTTCACAGAATATATCATTTTTACGGTTACATACGAAAATTTTCTCACTCAACTTTTGTCACTTGGGAATAACAGATATTTGCTTCCTGCTATTTGTTGGCAATTTTGCTGATGGATTATTGTTTCACAGGGGTTTAGCCTTGTGCTCATGCAGCACAAGGAAAGGGATTTTCTTGTTGTGTTCGGGGGATCCAAGAAGGAGCCTTCAAATCAGGTTAAAAATAAGTTGTCAAATATTGTTTCCTGTTAACGCATTAGTTGATACCCAATAACACATTGTTTTGTGGCAGATTGAAGTACTGACCATGGAAAAGAATGCAGCACAAGGAAAGGGATTTTCTTGTTGTGTTCGGGGGATCCAAGAAGGAGCCTTCAAATCAGGTTAAAAATAAGTTTTCAAATATTGTTTCCTGTTAACGCATCAGTTGATACCCAATAACACATTGTTTTGTGGCAGATTGAAGTACTGACCATGGAAAAGAATGAATCATCTATAGGCCAGCGATTAGCTCCCAGTAAAGGTCCAGGATCTTTACTCTCTGAAAACCGCTTATCATCCACAGGATTGGCTACGCAATTGAGTACTGGTTCTTTTAATGGGTCAGTTGATGCTGTTGCGAAACAAAATCTGGCATCTATAATTGAGCACCATGGCTCTGGTAGAAGATCTTTGTCAGAGTCTTTACTTGTGGATTCAAATCCTGTTTCTGGTAATATTTCACTCCGCAAGAAATTTCACGATGAGGAAGACAGCATGATGGCAAAGAGTTCTGAAGATGGAAGTCCTTCACAGGTGAACTACTAATTTCCCCATCTAATTGCTCACTGTTGCATTTCAATATTCATTTAAATGTCGGAAAGTAGATATCCCTTGTTCAAAATCGAACATTTGCATCTTCTGTGGACATATGAAAGTTCAATTTGCACGTTTTGTGTAGGTCATTGTTGACTTCATTGGCCTGCCTTGTATTTTCCCGACCTAGGATATGTTCTACATTGAAACCTAAGAAGCACGGATACGGATACGGATACGGATACGGATACGGATATGGGATACGGGTACGATATGATACGATACGGATACTGCGATACGGCAAAATTCGAAAAAGTAGGATACGGATGCGGTGGGGATACGTTCATAAAAAATATTTTTTTTCACAATTTTTAGTAATGTAGCATACACAAAAATAAAATTTCAACAATTTTTAGTAAACAAATAAAACAAAACATTAATGTAGCATCACCCATAACAACCATAATGCATCATCCATAACAAAAAATTCATCAATTCAATTAAATTTCAACAATTTTAACAATATAACATCACCCATAACAACCATAATGCAATTCAATCCCAAATTAAGGGGGAAAAAATTTACAAAGTTCATTTATTTATCAATAAGTTTATTTATGTATTTATTAATAAGTGTTTTTTTACCTTATTTGATTTATTAATAAGTTTACAAAGTTTATAATTTTATAAGTTGACAAATTTTATTTTTAATCAGTTTATTTATTTATTTATTTACTAATAAGTTTTTTTACCTTATTTTATTTATTTATTTATTAATAAGTTTATTTATTTATTTGTTTTTTTACCTTATTTGTTTATTTATTTATTTGTTTTATTTGTTTTATTTATTTAAACCGAATAATACATATAAGTTTTTTTTTTTTAATATCTTATTTGATTTGCAAATCGCAGAGTATACATACAACAAATTAAAAAAAATAAATAAATAAAAATAAATAAAGACAGATGAGATCGAGTCGAGAGGGGGGGATGAGATCGAGTCGCGATCTCCAACCAGACAGACAGATCGAGCTCGAGAGAGAGAGAGTTCGTGAGATCGCGACTCGAGAGGGGGGAGGGGATGAGAGGGAGACAGAGGGAGTGAAAAAGGGAGAGAGAGAGGGACGAACCTCAAAGCCGATCGTGGAGCTCCTGTCTGATCGACGATCGGCGACTGCTGTCCGAGACGACGACGAACTCCGAACTCCTCCTCCTTCGCGGCTGCTGTTTGACCCAGGTAAGAGAGAGTTTGGTTCTTGTGTTTGGTTCGACCTTGGTTCGACCTAGCTGTACGAAGAACTCTATATTTTGTGTTTCATTTTATATTTTTTTCATATTTTACAATTTGACCCCAATTTAAAGGTTTTAAATTATTTTTTTGCCCCGCCGTATCCATACCGTATCTTGACCGTATCCTTACCGTATCCTCGCGTATCCGAGCCGTATCCGAAATTCAAAAATTAAAAAAAAAAATTGGATACTCCATTTCCCGTATCTGATACGTATCCCGCCGTATCGGGCGCGTATCCGTATCCGATACGTATCCGATATGCGTACGGCAGCTATTTCGGAGTATCCGTGCTTCATAGATTGAAACCAAAGATAAGTTATTGAGATGTAGAAACCTGTTTCCCTAGGATTTTCTTGTTCCCACTCATCAGTTGTCATTCTTTCCCACTATCCATCTTTCGAAACCAAATGGTCTGGATTCCAACATTTTCGTTTTGTGGCGGTCCATCCTAACTCCCATGCATGAATCACATGTCATTCTTTCCCACTCTGTTTCCACAACAAGATACAAGTAACCGGTGCTGCTTAGAACCTCAAAAACCCAATCCAACTGATATTCCCAAGTTCTTGTTCCAGCAGGTAGCAGAGCAGAGAACAAAACAACTTGATATGGGTGTTCAGGCTAACATTACTGGGAATAAAGTCAATTCAGAAGAAACATCTTTATTTGAATCTGATGGTTCGAACACCCACAACAAAGGAAATGGAAATCTTCCAACTGATAATGATGATATAGTCGTATTATTAGAAACTGATGGTAAATCAGGAGGACCGTCAGTTCCTTCAAGCATCTATCAACTGTATGGAACAAAAATGGCTGCCCTAATAAAAAAGAACGGAATTTTGGAAGGACAGCTGGCAGTTGCATTGGCTAGCCGGGAAGCTGCAGAGAAGAACTTATCTTCTGTTCTCAAGAGCAGACAAGAGATGGAAAAAAAACTGACAGATGCGGTCAAGGAGATGGAATTGCTGAAAGAGAAGCTGGCTGGAGTTGAGCTGGCACAAGAAGAGGCCAACAACGTATCAAATATTGTCCACTCTGACAATGTAAGGCTTGAGCATGATGTGGCTTTCCTCAAGGCAGTGTTGGATGATACACAGAAGGTACTGTAATTACATCATCTTCTCATGTGGATTCAAATTTGTGATTTGTGAGTTTGAATATATCATCGGGTTTGCTTATCCTACCCTTTTGTTTTAGGAGTTGCATTCAACTAGAGGAGTACTTGCGGGAGAAAGGGCAAGGGCACTCCAACTACAGGTATGGCTTCCAAATGATATTGATCTTTATTACAGCTATTTATACTGTTGTTCTAAACTATGTTATATGAACTCTTCTAAAGTTGTGAAGCGCCCGTTTAGGACATTTGACCCTTGGTGAGAGTTTGAGATACGTATTCTACATGCCCCACAAGTTTGTATAAGTAGTTCAGTTTAGTGTGTAAACATCGTTTTATTCTTACAAATAAAATAAGTATTTGAGAAATATGAAATCTAATTGTGTCTTGGTGTCATTGACATGAAAATTAAATAAATTTGACACTCAGACATGTACTTGCACTCAAAATTGCCTATTGTAGCCATCGAAGTTATAGATAATCATCCTAACTCGCATGCAAGACTCTAAATTTTCATTCATAGTTGGGTTCTGATTAGGACCCAATTTACCTACCACACCTCCTAATAAAAAATGCGTCGAGTTTTGAACACTGCAATTCAAGTACAGTCACTATGAAAATAATCTTGTAACATGTTTTATGATGCAATTGTGGGCCTATACTATTCCAATTCCATATACATACAAATTTGCAGGTTGAAGTTTTCCATCTGAAACAAAGATTGCAGTCTGTGGAAACCCGAGCACCAACCCCAAGGAAACCTTTCCATCATGTATAGCACAGAGATCAATTCTCCGCGCTGTTAAGGTCATATTTTTGTACACGCACATCAGTTATGTATTTATAATATTTTGTAGTAGTATTTCTTTGTTTATTAAAGTACTTGATGTTGGTGCTCCATATTGTAAAATATAGATCCAGAACATGTTTGTTCCTTGTATCACAAGTCTGTAGAGATGGCATTGGCAATGAAGCTGCAAATGTACACTTTAGGGAGTTCACTAGTTATCTTTTTGTTATAATTGTGTCATCAATAACTAGGGAATGCAGTCTCTCCCCCTAGGAGAAGGGGCATTTGATTATTATTATTTTTTTTTTAAAAAAAAGGAAAAAAATGGTCACAATGATCATAAATTATTAGATGGGCACATATTTATGTTAGATTTCTTAACTCACTTGATTATTTTTTTCCTTTTCGCAGGATTCCGTTTTTGGAAAATTTATCCATAAGTCCTAGTTTCTGAAAAGTTGAACCATTTAGTCCTAAAAGTTTTCTTATGCTCCATTTAGTCCCATTTGCACATCAATCTAATGTTCGAAACATTAATTTGATGTTCGAAATCTAATGTTCCAAACATTAATCTGATGTTCAAAATCTAATGTTCGAAACATTAATCTGATATTTGAAACATTGTAATGGGACCTTTCCGTCTATAAGAAAACTTTTAGGACTAAACAGTGGATAAGTTATTAATTTGAGATTTATTGGTGCATTCCCCTTGGTTTTTATTTTAAAAATGCTTTTACAATTTTACTATATCAATAAATTTTAATTGAATTTGTTTGACTTGTAAAATTAATCTATTTGGAAATCAATTGAAATTAACTTAATTGATCATTTTTTTAGGGAGGTTAATTAAGGTCGTGTGGCAAGATTTCTCCCTTTCTCATATAATAAAAATAAAAATAAAAATTAGGTGGCAAGTTCTTGTTACGTGACAATGTCATGTTACAGCTTTTAGACGGAGTTTTTGATCAAAATTTTCTCCTAATAAAATTTTAATACATGAATAGTATTCTTATTTGTGTATTTAAATTTTATCTTAAAATATTATTAAAAAATTTATTTTTTATTTTAAAAATTACTTTTTCATCTATTTTTTTCAACAAATTCACTATTCTTTTTTTTATTTTATTAAAATAATATTTTTAATTATTTAATGTTCGAAAATGTTCGAAACATTAATCTGATGTTTAGAATCTAATGTTCGAAACATTAATCTGATGTTCAAAATCTAATGTTCGAAACATTAATCTGATGTTTGAAACATTGTAATGGGACCTTTCAGTCTATAAGAAAACTTTTAGGACTAAACAGGTGGATAAGTTATTAATTTAGGATTTATTGGTGCATTTCCCTTGGTTTTTATTTTAAAAATGCTTTTACAATTTTACTATATCAATAAATTTTAATTGAATTTGTTTGACTTGTAGAATTAACCTATTTGGAAATCAATTGAGATTTAACTTAATTGATCATTTTTTTAGGAGGTTAATTAAGGTCGTGTGGCAAGATTCCTCCCTTTCTCATATAATAAAAATAAAAATAAAAATTAGGTGGCAAGTTCTTGTTACGTGACAATGTCATGTTACAGCTTTTAAACGGAGTTTTTGATCAAAATTTTCTCCTAATAAAATTTTAATACATGAAAGGTATTCTTATCAGAGTATCTAAATTTTATCTTAAAATATTATTAAAAAGTTTATTTTTTATTTTAAAAATTACTTTTTCATCTATTTTTTTCAACAAATTCACCATTCTTTTTTTATTCTATTAAAATAATATTTTTAATTATTTTTAAATTTAAATATTTTTTTAATAATAAAATAATAAATACACATGCAACAAACAACCCAACATGTTGCAGCACAGCAGGAAGAGGAAAACAAACAGGTTCGATCGGTTGGATCCGGTCAAGTTAATTTTGAACATTTTCTTTTTTTAGCTCTAGGGATTTCACAGGACATTTGGGAGGACATTCTTCACGCCTTTATCAGATATAAAATAAAAATTTATCAGATGTGAGGAATAGGGAGTCACTGCAACAATACTTATATTTGGGAGGTCGGATAAGGGAATTGTTAAGGATATGTTTTGACAAAAAAACTCTTTATTTTTAGTAAGGAGACATTATAAAGGGAGAGATGGGGATGCTCCAAGGATAATCACACAAAATTTTGCTTGAAAAGTTTAATAAATATTACTATTATCAAAATATTAAACTTTCAAATAAAATAACTTTTGATGTAGATATCGATTTTTAATAAAATTAATATTTTTAGAATTCTTTTATCAAGGTCTATCAAATAAAATTCATGTTGACTATGAAATTCTTTATAAAAAAATTTTAAAATATTACATTTGAAATTGATGTAAATAGGAACAATAACATATTACTCTGTTTGACATTAACATGTTATTCTGTCTTTCAGTAATATATTGTTCTGTTTGACAATTACTTTATTTTACAGTAACATGGTACTTTGGTAATATTGTCCAAGAAAAAAGAAAAAAAATATTTTACTTTATACTTAGTCAATTATGTATTTTCTCCTTAAAGGATTTATGAAGAAAAATAAGTTGAGTTGTTTTTTTTTACCAAATAAGAGTTCAATAGAGAAGTTTTGACTAAATTTCTCCTTTTAAATACAATATATATATATTCAAAATTAATTTTGTTGTAAAAACAAAAATAAAGTGAATATTATACCAAAGATGTGTTTAGAAAACTATATGAAAAAACTAAATGCTAATTTTTTTTTTTTAAAAAAAAGAAGCAATTCACCCTCACAAATTCATTTTTATTAAATAATTTTTTTTATCGCTTTTAAGAAGCTTGATCATAAATAAACATAAAAAAAATACAATGAAAATGATTGCATTTTCAAACTCTCAATAAAATAATTTCTGAGCAACATAAAAAAAAATGAAAAATGAGAATTCACTTAGTTATATTTAGTTGGGAAATTTGAGAAAAAATTTAAAAAGAGTTAAGAGATTTGAAAAAAAAATTATAAAAGAAATAAAATATGAATAAAATATATTTATATCATACATAATTTTATATATTCTGAATTCCTTCCCAAATACAGGGTCACCGACTTTACATGAGTCCAAATACGGTCGCGTCGGACCTGTAAATATATATCCAGCATCTAACCCACCAGCCGTCTTTACCCGATCCATCATCATCTTGTTCTTTTTGTTGATTGGAACGCTCTGTCAATGGAGTCTTCGTCTTCACGAAGATCGCTGCTACACACGCAGACATCTACAACCAGTCCTCAAAGATTTCTATCAAAGCGAATCGAACCAGCAATTCGAGGCAAATCGTGTACGATATGCTTGAATCACATCGACCATCGCAGAGCAGCGGTGATCACAACCTGCCTCCATGCCTATTGCGTCGATTGCATTCGCAGATGGAGCGATTTGAAGCGAAACTGTCCTCTCTGCAACGCAGTCTTCGATGCTTGGTTCTCCCAAATCAACCTCTCCTCTCGAACCTTCCTCAAACACAAATTACCAGAAATCAGTGAGGATATTAGGAAGCTCAATGTCGAAGCTTTGCGTAGCAGGCGAAGAGTTCTTGTTGCGGAGCGAAGGTGAGATTCCGGTATTTCTTTTCTTCAGTTTGGTTGATGAGAAAAGTGGGGAAAATGAAAGGGAATTTTGTCCTTTTTGGTGTAAACCTAGAAAACATGAAGCATATGAGTTAAAATTAGTGTAGAATGGTAAATACCAAAGCTTTATACAACCAGCCATGGAGATCCTCTTGCGGAGCAGAGGTGAGGTTCTGATATTTTTGTCTTGTTTGTTTGGTTGGTGGGAAAATTGAGTGAAAGAAAGGAAATTTGAAGATTTTGGTATAAACCCAAAAACACATGAAGCATAACAGTCAAAATTAGGATAGAAAGGTAAATAACGAAGCTTGATACAGCCAGCCATGAAGAACCTCTTGCGGAGCAGAGGTGAAGTTCTGATATTTTTGTCTTGTTTGTTTGTTTGGTTGGTGGGAAAATTGGGTGAAAGAAAGGAAATTTTGAAGTTTCTTGTTGTAAACCCAGAAAACCTGAAGCATAAGAGTCAAAATTAGGATAGAAAGGTAAATAATCAAGTTTTATACAGCAGTCATAGATATCCTTTGAGGAGCAGAGGCAAGGTTCTGATATTTTTGTCTTGTTTGTTTAGTTGGTAGGAAAATTGAGTGAAAGAAATGAAATATTTCTGTTTGTGTGGTGTAAACCCAGAAAACATAAAATAAAAGGTTTTCAATAGTAATTTTTTTACTAATGAATTTTTAGGTTTTTGAGAGAGGTTTGTGTTTGAGTCTGCGAATTACAGTTGAAATTTAACATGTTCTTAGGGTCCTCAGAAGATCAAGGGAAGAATTTGATTGTGTCAATGGGCGAACGAGGCCTTTGCCGAGACAAAGACGGTTTGGAAGGTCAGGATCAGAGTCTTCTAATTCTGTTGCTGAGAGAGTTCTTCAGTGGCGTGCTAGGTACTGTCCATATTGTTCTGCTCCCCCCAATTTTAATTTTATTTTATTTTAACCTATAGTCAGATTTTGATTTGTCATCTGCAAATATGCTAGTATTGTTTGAACTTTTTTTTATCATTCATGTATTTAGCTAATGGATTTGAAACCACAACTTAATGTCAACTTTGTTACGATTTGGTTGAATGGTTTTGCTAATGTGGAATTTGGTCTTGCAGCATATACGAGCAACACTTGCGGGCTGTTCCTTGTTTTTCTCAGAGTTGTCTTGAGCGGGTATATTCACTAGCCCAAGCTACTGAGATTCAGAGAGAGGACAATGACATAATTCTGTTTGTTTATTTGTTATCCGATTTCTTGAAATAAATCTATATTCCTGTGAAAGTCCATGTGTTTGACAAGACGTAAGGGTTTTAAAGATTTGCACAACCTTGTATCTCCAAAATTTTGTTTCCTTAGAAGTAAATTGCATACCACTTGGTTTTCTTATTTTCTTTGTTGTTCACCAATTCAGCTGACAGTCAAGCATGCTCCCTCTATTGAGTCTGGAATGTGTAGAAATCTGTCTGGACAATGGGTTCTTATGGGTTCTTGTTTCGACAGCCTCTATGAAGTTGTTCCCTTGGATGCATGATGAGTGCTATGTATTGATATTATGAACACATAAATGTCGCATAACGCTAAATATGCAAACACTATACCCTGTCCATGGTAGAAAATCTGAGGACGTGCCATTTTTGACATCTTTGCCATTCTTGTGTCTAGTTGGTATGTGTACCCAACACTGTGTCACATGCCATTTTTGCCATTCTTGTGTCTTAGTTGCTATGTTTGTTAGTGTTTCTAGCATTATTGTGTAGGATAATATCTTATGCTTGAACCTAGTTTTACTGTTAGGCTTTGGCTTTGTTGAATTAGGTTGCATTTGATTTCCAAAAACAAAAAAAAAAAAAAAAAAAAAAAAATAAGAAAAGAAAATTGTTTCCTTCTGGAAGGTTTTATTTTTGAGAGCTGACTTCCCCCTTATGTTTTCATCAGAACACAGCAGGAAACAATGGTGTCAAAGATAGGATACTAAAAAGAATAGAGCCATGGATTCATAGGGAACTGAAAGCTATACTTGGGGATCCAGATCCATCTATTATTGTGCATGTGGCATCCTCACTCTTTATCTCAGGCCTTGAAGAGAAGCACGAGGTCCCTTCCAAACAATTTGTTCTTGAGGATAACTTTATTGAACCTTTGCGACCTTTTCTGCATGAAAGGACGAATATGTTTTGGCATGAACTCCGGTACATCATCTGCATAATATGTTTTGGCATGAACTCCGGTACATCATCTGCATTTAATTGACAAAAGATTGTTTTTTGCCCAGATAAGAAATTTATTTTTCCAAATTCTTAATTTATGTATGCATGTATTTTTTGTTTTTAAATTTTAAAAACATATTAGCATTTTATTTAGGTGAGAATGATCTATAATTACTTTGTTTCTCAGAATGACAGTTTTCTAATGAACAAAAACTATATGCCTTTTCTTAAGGTGTTTTGCAGAAAGTCCATTCAACATTGAGACATACGACACTGTAGTTGAATATAAAAAATTGTCAGAATAAGTTCAGAAGAGAAACTTCAAAGGCTTTGTTGGCAACTTGGGGGGTCATGTTCTTCAAAAAGATCTATGGCTCCAAAGGATCGTGCAAGCTGTCATTGGAATTGTGTCTTCATCTGCCTGTTCGGAGAGATAGTCAATGGTCTTAATGGTCTTAATCCAGCGCATGTCTGCCTGACTTGAAAACAATCCACGCAATTTGCACAAACCAAGAAGAATGAGCCAAAGCGGGTAGAGTTGCATCATGTTATCAAGGGGAAGAACAATAGAATTGAAGAAGACAAGCGAGTAGCTTCCTCATTCAAGATTATCCATGTTCATCAGGGTGTTTATTCAAATAATAGTACACCCTAATTGGAGATTCTTGTTATCAGTTTCATCCAGTCGCATTTTTATCCAGCTTATATGGTTTGTGATATCTATACTGGCTAATGGATTTTGTGACTGTTAAATTTCTTTCAGTTCTATTTAACTGGCTATTTTTACTGCCAAAAAATTGAGTTCTCTCAATACTTATGGAAAATGATATATTATACAAACTTGTAGTGATCATATGTTATTGCGGATTATTAGGGAGATTAATATTATACAATCATACAAAATTAGATGAAAGAGAATAGCCTTAATAGTCGGGCATATTTTCATTTTAATTGCTATTTGGACATAGAAATAGGTGATGAGAAGAATAGAGTTGCAGAAAATGAAATTGTTATTCTAATTAATATAGATCCAAGTATATATCTAAGTCAGTATATATCTAAATCATTTCTCTTTAATGTATAAAGAGAAATGATTGTATTATTGATTAATTTATTGAATGTTACAATGATTCCTATTTATAGAAGAGTAGGTGGTAGTAGGTGGTAGATGGAGTAGGTAAAGTGGAGGTGGTAGGTGGAGTAGGTGAAGTGGAGGTGGTAGTGGTGTAGTGGGTTAGGTTTAGTGGCGAGGAATGTAGAACTAAACAAATGGACTTATTCATCTTTCAACATGAAAATGTGATAATTTTTTTGTTCTTACTCTTTTCTTCTTTTCATACAAAATTATTCTTACAGGCACGGCAGTTGAGTTGTTCTTATCACTGCTATAGGTTTGCACCAAAGGGGGTTGTCTACTCCTACAGCCAAACAGAGATGGACTAAGTTAACCATGAACATCAATATGTTGAAAAGCTGAAATCTGACCCACAACATGACAACCTTTGCTCTGCCTTCCATATACCTGTTAAAAAAATCATGCAGTACAGGGTTCCTAGATTGACATAAAACATGTTGTCAAAAGTATTCCTTCAATTTTTTTGTGGCCCCTGATTCCAATCTAACACTACCACTAGTGCCATTATTTCACAAAATTATAACCTATATGACACTGCAAACTCTCGTGATACAGCAAACACATGCCTGACGGTGAATTCGGTGCGTCTATCATTCTTCTTCCGGTTCTCCCTCTTCTTGGAGAAGATTCTCTCTATTGTCATGGGCCCAGAAACCGCGCACATCTACAAGCATGCTGGCAACAGTTCCACCCTATTTGCAAGCCAATAGATCAGCCAGAGTGATCCGTAGAGGGTCAGATGGTTTCACCATGTCCCAATCTCTTACGTCCTCAATACAAAGCTCATAGTTCCCTCCAATCCATTTCTGGTGTACATCTCTGTTTCAAACCCACAGGGAAGAAAATTATGTCAGCTCTGTTCCATTTCTGGTGTACATCTCTGTTTCAAAGCTCATCTATCTATCTATCTATCTATCTATCTATCTATCTATCTATCTATCTATCTATACTATTATAAAGTGAACACTCCTCATGGTGTCTTGAAGCCTTTTTTATGCTGCCACGTGTCTACTTTTTTATTTGAAAAAAAAAAAAAATAGATAGATGAGAGGAGGGGATTTGAACCTTAGACGTATGTCAAATGAATAAGACTTTTATCACTTAACTAGCACACAATATATGATAAATGTTTTATTTTATTTTTATTTATTTGAATTGCACACGCATCGCGTGTGCCAACCGCTAGTAGTTCTATATATGCGAGTTTTTTTACCAAGTGCATGTGATTTTAAATCATATTTCCCAATCTCAAAGTAGTTTTGAACTTGTTTCCCAAATTTTTTTTTTAAAAGTTACAGTAAGGTATTTGAAGTCATGTAACCAAACCACAACTCGAAGAAACAACCTGTATTGATAAATATGTTTAAAAGTGGGGAAATTCGTTTAAAAGTCAGCCGACTTTGGTAAAAAACTTGTATATATGCATTGAGGTTACAAAAACAAATTCAAGGGTAACTAGCTCCCTAGTCTAAAAGCCTTCAACAAGGCTTCCAAACTTAGTAGTTTGGTTCATGTATCTTGTAATTTGGGACTTGCAGAACTAACTCAAGTAACCACAAGCAAGAAATTACAGAGATTTTTTGTAGGAAGATTGCATCAGGTAACATCTCTGCTTGTGGATGCCCCTCTTCTTTTCTTCCAATATTAGGCTTCACTCTGTTTGGTTGCTGAGAAGGAAAAGAGAATTCCAAAATTCCTTCTCAGCAACCAAATTAAGCATGGACCAGCTACATGAATTATTTTTCACTCTATATGCTCAACTAAATTAAATAAATTCAAATCTTTTTTTTTTTTTTTATAATTTCCGCATCCCATGGAAGAATAATTGGAGAAAAATAAGTTATCCCCTACGATTAAAGTCAAAATAATAAAATGTAGAGTGTTCACCTGAAAAGTGTGTGAATATCAGCTGTTGTGAGGTATCCTCTTCCACGGAGATCAAGACACTGAAACAAATAAGTTAAACCCTCTGGAGTGTCTTTGTTTTCTAGGGCCAGAACAAAGTCTAGAAAGCTTTCAAAATCCATCTCCCGAGCATTACCTCCTCCAGTTTTGCCATGACGGACATGCTCATCAAATGCTGTTATCAAACCAAAGCAAACAATGAACAAAAGCTTAAGAAAACACAATGCAGCATAAACAATTTAATCAAAAAATAATACAATAATGGTAACAGGTAAGGAACGTTCCAAGTTAAACCACAGCTGGTGAACTGGTGAAGGGCATTTTTGGGTTTGGACAAAATACTGCAGTATAATGAAAAATAAGCTTAGAAAATTCTGTAACTGACACCCTCCATCATTAACAAAAGAAATGAGCTTTGAACAAGCAAATCATTTTCTAAAACAGGCAAATATAAATAACTTCAATAGGCAGCAAAGCGATGGAGTGTGACCAACCACACTCATTATATAAGGGTTGAAAAGGCCATATTTTCAAGCAATTGAAAAGATACAAGATGCACGGCAGAAATTCCTACCCCTCTCAATGAAAATATCTGTCAGAGTCCCATCAGCATATTCTCAAGGTTCCTGCTTGCTCAATGTTCCATTCATATCTTTATTGAGTGCAAGAAACATGTCTGCAGAACTAAACTGATTGCTATAAGCTACAACAATAACGATAACATAGTCACAAGCTATGTAATGCAACCAGAACTACTTTTTTTGAGATTAACAGTACAAGATAAATGCATAACGAAATACAGCCCCTTGTACATCACAAGAATTGAATTAAGATCATTCTACACCTAAACATTCAAGGAGGAATACAGAACTATTTTCCCCTTATAAATCTACAATTATATTTCTTAACACTCTCAAAATGAACTTCAGATGGAGAAATTCAAGGCAGCCACCACAAATGCGTTGGGCAGACGTCAATGAAAACCAGTTTTCAGCTTGTTCAATGTCAGTGACTTCTTCCTCACTTTCCTGACATAGATAATAGGTAAGAATCCAAAGTCAACTTCTATTCAAGCACATAATTAGGTTTAAAACAAGCTCATGTAAATACTTTGGTCCTCTGCTTCTACCAAATCCAATTTCAAACAAAAATAATTGCAATTGATATTATGTAAAACAAGTTTTATATGGATTAATCCTTGAGTTTGATGATGGAAAATTTCCTTCAAATCACCAAGAATTATTTCTACCAATTTTGTTCAGTCTGAAAGAAGCATGCCAACAACAACAATAGCTGTTTGTATTCACTCTTGCAGGTATAGCATTGATGTAGAAATTTAGAACTTTAAATTCGTCATTTCAGCAACCACAAATTTCCAAGTAGAGAAAAGACAAAAAGATCCACAGTAAACAACCAATTAGGCCTAGCCTAGTTGGCCACCATGCCTTCTTTAGGGCTTAGTCCCAAGGAGGTCATGGGTTCAATTCTCCTTAAGGGGTTGGATTAAGGGTGTGCAAGCACTTAGGTGCTTTGTCAAGGGTGGAGAGATTTTCTCCCATAGGTGCTAAACTAACAACTAACATTTGTCAATCAAAAAAATAAAAATAAAAATAAAAATAGAACTAAGAGCCTTAAACTCCTTTTGTTTGAAAAAAAAAAAAAAATTAATTAGAAATACTTGGATCATTTTTTAATAGTACATCAGTGTGAACTTTTCTCTACTCACAATAGTGGCAATAAAAATAAAAATACAAATACAAATACAAATACAAATCTAATGTAAAATTATTACACCAGCAATGAAACAACAGAAGGACGCATATTAATAATAGCTGTCACTAAGCCACTTTGTTCTGAGTTGATTCCCAATGGTGTGTGTTTTGCTCTGAAACCTGATTGATTTTAGGATTTGATTGTGTTTATTCGAGGAAGAAAAATTAAAAATGAATAAGAGAGCATGGTCCTTCCTGTAACAAAATATCTCTGATAAATTACAACATTAATAATGCAACTCCACAGTTGTTTTGTCACTGTGGTTTGACCACGTGATTGTGCTATTACAGTCTGAATGCGTAAAACATGAGACAAGTTTCATCTGTGGGTATTTAATTGTGAACTCTGGCTTGTGTTAGTTTCTTTGTGGATCTCTCTCTCTATCTCTCTCTCATGTAATACTACTTTCGTATTTTGCCAGGTTTCACTTACACAGGCCAGAATTGACATGAGTGAGCTTGATGAGGATTCTGATGGTTTTCTACAACCTCATGTATGGTTCTTTACACATTTCCACCCCTCATTGTCCAAAATTGGATAGTAGCTTCTCTCTCTCTCTCTCTCTCTCTCTCTCTATCTCTCTCAAATGTAATCTTGTTGCATGCTTTTTAATCTTGTATGTAAAAAGAACAATCTATATTTTGATGCCTGCAGGAAATGGAGGTGTATATACGAGGCCTTATTCCTAATTTGGCACAACTTCGGGACATGCCTGCAGCCTTTTTTCAAATGTACTGCCGCATAGCTGCACACAAATTTTTCTTCTTTTGTGATCCTCACAGACGAGGTTTGTCATGTTCTAAATCTTATTTATCTTATTCAAAAGAAAGAGTTGAATTTCTATAGCATGATTTCAATTGAAGTCATTATGTATTTTAGTGTTTCATTTAATGAAATGAAATTGCTCTGGTGCTTGTCATTTTCTTTAACTGTAATATGTTCCAATGTGGTTTGATTATATTATGTGTAATGTCACCTCTTTCCTCAACCACTGCTAGCACAATCACAAACTTTCTATTTCGCATTTTCATAAAAATATTGAAGTGTACTCAAATTTTCATCTTTTATTAACCAAACCACAACTCGAATAAACAACCTGTATTGATAAATATGTTTAAAAGTGGGGAAATTCGTTTAAAAGTCAGCCGACCTTGGTAAAAAAACTTGTACATATGCATTGAGGTTACAAAAACAAATTCAGGGGTAACTAGCTCCCTAGTCTAAAAGCCTTCAACAAGGTTTCCAAACTTAGTAGTTTGGTTCATGTGTCTTGTAATTTGGGACTTGCAGAACTAACTCAAGTAACCACAAGCAAGAAATTACTGAGATTTTCTGTGGGAAGATTGCATCAGGTAACACCTCTGCTTGTGAAATACGAAAGTAGTATTACATGAGAGAGAGATAGAGAGAGAGATCCACAAAGAGACTAACACTAACACAAGCCAGAGTTCACAATTAAATATCCACAGATGAAACTTGTCTCATGTTTACGCATTCACTGTAATAGCACAATCACGTGATCAAACCACAGTGATAAAACAACTGTGGAGTTGCATTATTAATGTTGTAATTTATCAGAGATATTTTGTTACAAGAAGGATCATGCTCTCTTATTCATTTTTAATTTTTCTTCCTCGAATAAACACACAATCAAATCCTAAAATCAATCAGGTTTCAGAGCAAAACACACACCATTGGGAATCAATTTAGAACAAAGTGGCTTAATGACAGTTATTAATGTCACCAACTACATGTAAAACGATAAAGTCCGTATGCTATGTTGCTTGTTGCCTTTATGTTGAAGTTCACATCAGTCGCTGTTTGTTTATCTATTGTTCTGAATCCTTTCTTTTGCATATGAAGCTTATGTTATTGGTGGTTGTGGTGGTTAAGTTTCTATTTTCCTATATACTTGTGTTACTCATTTTACTGTTGTTACTTATCAAAGAAAAAGTTACTATGCTATGGACCTGATTAAACTTGGTTGTGGTGGTTAAATACCTTTATTCTCAAACTATGCTATGGACCTGATTAAACCTAGTCAAGTTTGTGGACACCCATTTTTTTCCTTATGTGCAATGCAGGTCAAATTCATGACTTATAAGCCTTATATACATGACCCAACTCATGACCTAATTTTTCTTCGAAGAGTCTTTCCTATTGGATTATATGGTTCAGACTTGGTATAATAGTGATTTACTAAATCTCATTGATTTTGACTTTTGTTTCTTTTTTATTCTTATCCATATTCAAGTAGCTGGAATTTTCAGAATTCAGATGAATATATACAGAATAGTTAAAAGAAGATATTTGTAACCTAATTTCTTGTTGGAGTTGGAATTCTAACAGCTAACTATAGTAACTTAGTAAGCATTAACGGATTTTTTTGTGCAAATTTTGGTTTGTTTTATCCTGATAATAACTTATAAAAGTTTAGTGTTTTTATCCCTATTTGACAAGGTAGTATTATACTTACATTCATTTGTATTTACAATTGGTACTATACCTAATTGGTTCTAGGTGGGCTTACCGGTTTATTTTATTTTCATTTAAACCATTTAAAATATATATATATATATTAAACAAGTTTAAAAAATAAAAGAAAAGGTATTAATTTTAGGAAACTATCACGGAACCTAAAATTTAAATTTAGAATTAAATTAAATTTTCACAATTACAAACTTTAGGAAACCACTTAGGAACCCAAAATTTGAATTAGAATTAAATTAAATTCCCACAATAATTTTTATTGAAAATCCAAATGAATTTTATCAAATAAAAATTAATGTTAGACTCGAAAACGACGTCAACTTCCCATTCACTCATAAATGGTTTTGACGTTCCGTCTTTACTACTTCACCTCTTCGGACCCACCCCAAAAGACATTTGGGGTCCACCCAAAATGGGCTAAAAAATATGCCTATATAAAACCATTTTTCCAACAATAGTAACTTAGTAAGCATTAAAGGATTTTTTTTTGCAAATTTTGGTTTGTTTTATCCTGATAATAACTTACAAAAGTTTAGTATTTTTATCCCTATTTGACAAGGTAGTATTGTACTCACATTCATTTGTATTTACAATTGGTACTATACCTAATTGGTTCTAGGTGGGCTTACCAGGCCAGTGTTCACTCTTAGACTATCAATCTATTGGGATGTGGTTGTATTTGTTGGTGGGATGCTTGATCTCTTCCCTTCTTATCATTTGGTGTTTGTATGGAGTTTTGGCGGTGTGGCAACTAGTTCTTTCTGCACATTGTGTGTGGAAATAATGAGTATTCAATTTGATCAATTCTAGACAAAATCCTTGATATAGTGTATATTACTCAAATGTATTCTCATAATTTCACTTGTTTTATACTTCATCTATTACATTATGATGATGGTTGTCTTTCTTGCTTGTATGTGAATGATCTACTCGCATTAATGATATCTGGGATGTTGCATATATCCCTATAGTATTTCTCATATTGCATTAAGCAATAAAATTCAATGTTCTTTCTATAACAGGTGGGGCTTCACATTTAGGAAGAATAGTTTGACAAGTAGACTCTTTTGGTGACTTTGAGGTGGTTATTTTTGTGTTCCTGTAATCATTTTGGATTTCAATACACCGGTGTGTTTCTATGACCTATTTTTCTTCCTAATTGGTTGCAAATATGACAGGATTCTTTGGAAGATGGGGGTGAAAAAATTGAGTCAAAGAAACACAAGAAGAAGAAGAAGAAGAAGAAGAAGAAGAAGAAAAAGAAGGATAAGGGAAAAAACAAAAAACAAAAGAGGTTTGTTGCCATTGACCATTTCATCTTAGTCAAATCAAAATTGTAACCTTTGATTAGTCTTTAATGTTTTTCTATTGCAGCCATCGAAGGACACTGTAGATGCTGTAATGAAACGGCCTAAAATGAAGCTGAAATTGTGATTCAAATAAAATTCGATTCCAATTGTTTGTATGAAGACATATTGAAGGGTTTACAAACTAGGCTTATCAAAGCATCTGCTTTCGCTTTTGATTAGAACAGGCATTATTCCAAGCCCATATGGTAGGGTCGGCCTGAATTTTTTGAGGCCCGAAGCAAATTCAGAAATGGCCTCAACTTTTAAACTTTTTTTAAAGAATATATATTGATAAAATATTAAAAATTTTATCTTTTCACCCATTTTTTCATCTTGCTCTTTTAAACATTTCTCTTTTCACCTATTTTTTCATCTTCCTATCTCTCTGTCTCTGTCTTTGTCTCTCTTCTCTTTCTCTCTCTCTCATCACTCTTCTTTATCTGTCTATCTCTCTTTCTCTATGTGTCTATATCTCTCTTCTCTTTCTCTTTCTCTCTCTCACTCATCACTCTTCTTTGTCTGTCTGTCTCTCTCTTCTCTGTGTGTCTCTCACCCATCTATCTTTTCTCTCTCTGTCTCTTTTCTCTTTATCTCTCTCGCTCTCTCGCTCATCTCTCTCTGTCTCTTTCTCGTTTATCTCTTTGCACTCTTTCTCTCTCTCTCTCTTTCTCTCTTTTCACCTATTTTATCATCTTCCTCTCTCTCTTCTCTTTCTCTCTTTTACTCATCACTCTTCTCTCTCTGTGTGTCTGTCTATCTCTCTCTGTGTATGTGTGTGTGTCTCTCACTCATCTATTTTTTTTCTCATCTTTTTTCTCTCTCTATCTCTTTCGCTCATCTCTCTTCTTTTTATCTCTCTTATCTCTCTCTGTCTCTCTCGCTCATCTCTCTTCTCTCTATCTTTCTCTCATCTCTCTCTATCTCTCTCGCTCATCTCTCTATCTCTCTCTGTGTCTCTCTCGTTCATCTCTTTTCTCTCTATGTCTCTCTTGTTCATCACTCTTCTCTCTATTTCTCTCTCTGTCTCTCTCTGTCTCTCTTGTTCATCTCTCTTCTCTCTCTGTCCCTTTTTCTGTCTCTCACTCTCTATCTCTCTTTTTTTTGTCTATCTCTCTCTCTTCTCTTTGTCTCTCTTACTCATCACTCTTCTATGTTTGTCTGTCTTTGTCTCTCTCTCTCTTTCTCTCTTGCTTATCTCTCTTCTCTTTATCTCGCTTATCTCTTTATCTCTCTCTCTGTCTCTTTCGTTCATCTTTCTTCTCTCTCTCTCTTTCTATGTCTTTCTCCCGATCATCTCTTTTCGCTCTCTTTCTCTATCTCTTTTTGTCTATCTCTCGCTCATATCTTGTTTCTCTCCCTTTTTCTGTCTGTCTGTCTCTAACTCTTTCTCTATCTATCTTTCTCTATCTCTTTCTCTCTTTGTCTTTCTCTCTCTCTCTATCTCTCTCGCACTCATCACTCTTCTCTCTCTCTTTCTCTCTTTGTGTCTGTCTGTCTGTCTCTCACTCTTCTCTCTCTTTCTCTCTCTGTGTCTGTCTGTCTTTCTCTCTTCCCCATTGTGTTTACTTTCACTCTTTCCCTCACATCTTCTCTATTTACCGAGCTCTCCATTACAAGAAAATACACTTTTAGCGACCACTTTGTCTCTCTCTCGCTCGCTCATTACTTTGTCTCTCTCTCTGTATCTCTCTCTATCTGTCTCTCACTCATCTCTCTCTCACTACCCATCTCCTCTACCACCTTCACCACTACTGCAAATGTCATTCTACTACCACCATTATTACCACTGTTGCCACTCCACCTCTACGACTACCATTACTACCACCATCGCTACCACTGCACTACCATTACCACCACCACCACCACTACTACTACTACTACTACTACTACTACTACTATTACCTCTCCTCCACCACTGCCACTCTATCTCCTTTACCATCCATCTCCTTTCTCTATCTCTTTTGCTTATCTTTCTTCTCTCTCTCACTCTCTCTATATCTCTCTCACTCATCTCTCTTCTTTATCTCTTTTATCTCTTTGCAAATATTTTTTTTTCAATTATAATGTATATGATCCGTCGTCATAAATAATAAAAAAATAAATATAAATATTTTTGGCCTAGACAAACATGTTTTTTAGTTTATGTTTTTAAATTTTTAAAAATATTTTGTTCAAATCAAACACGTTTGTAATTTATGCTTTTCTAAAAATAAATAAAAACCAATTTATAAAATTTTTGTAAACTTAAACAAAAAATGTAAATGTTACGAAACGTTATCGTGGGGGAAAAAAAAAAAAAAAAAAAGAGCACGAAATCTTATTCTCGCTCGTTTTTTCCTCCCCAACGAGAAATCCCCAAATCTCAAATCCTTAATTTTTGAACCACAAAAATCCCCATCTCTCTCTCTCGTCTCTCTCTCTCATCTCTCTCTCTCGACTGTAAGCAAGGCAGACGACGGCGTCGAGCCATATCATCGATCAATCCTTCCTGTATCTCTCTCTCTCTTCCTCCCTGTATCTCTCTCGACGGTACAACACTTCAACCCCAGAACCAAAAACCCTACCCTCCTACTCATCATCATGAACAGATCAAACCTCCACAGACTGCTCCACACTCGATCCAATCTTCCACATCATATACGGTCCAAACCATGTACGGTTACACTTCCTCTCTCTCTCCCCTCTGCCTCCGACGCCACCGCTACTGCCACTGTGACTACCGCGCAGCCGCCATCACCTCCGTTACCGCCCTCTCTCTCTCTCTCTCTCTCTCTCGCTCAGAAACCCATTCGATTTGAAGCTCAGAAACCCTCACTCTCAATCGATTGCTCAGATTTGTAAGTTTTTATTATTATATATATAGATATATATATATATTACACAAACTCATGGGTACAACATCCAAATCTCGCTCAGATTTGTAACTTACAGAGCAGATCTCGCTCATGGGTGAACAATACACAAAATCTATTTGATATATATATATATATACGTGTATATACGTTCTCTTTGATATTGAGTTCATTGTTTTGGTTCTATATATATACATGACCTGTATGTGTGACTGCTTGTTTAGGTTCTTCGGATGATTTTTAGTTGTCAACTTGGGCTGGTTTGGCATAGACTATATAATCCATCTTTTTATCTTTTTATCTTTTTTCCATCACATCACCTCTCTACTTTTCTGCACATCTTTTCGTAAAAAGACAAAAAATGCACTTTTTTAGGACACCCCAAACCAACCCTAAATTTTGGATTTTTTTTTTTACACTGCTATAAAGGTTTATTTTCTCAATTAGGGAAAATGATTTAGGGATATTAGGTTTAGTTGATTAAAAATGTGTATGATATACATATATCATAATAACGGTACACATTTAGCTGTTCTCATCCTTTTGCTTAAAAATAAATTATTTGTAGAATTTAATTTTTGAAACAACCTATATATAATTTCTTCCGTTGATCTTATCAAACAGGACATTTTCATTCCTTTACATAATTCCATTTTTGATTCAATGCAAGCCATGTTGGTTGTATGTGTTCTATTTTTATTCATTTACTATCTCTTTTACTTATTTCTGTCTTACTTCCTGTAATTATTTTCATGACATGATGATAAGATTAAGCCTCTATCCTATGTAGCGGTGCACTTGTATCTCTCCTATAAGGTAATTATTGGATTTTGTGCCACTGATGCTTTTGCATGTCTTTGCGTTACATGGACCTTGTTCAATTTGATGGTCTGTATTGAACAAAATACACTTAAAAAGAGTGTTGGGCTTAGTTTGGTTTGGCTTGTGATTTGTTTTCAAGTTAAGTATTTTCCTTTTGGAATTGAATTTTTCAGCAATTCTCAGTTCTATTGTTTTATTTGTAGGTACTGCGAAGAAAGTCCTCTACTCCTTGGGAATGTTGGTATGGGTTCTAGACTATGCACTTATTATCAGAAATCTACCCCAGGCGACCAAACTGGGAACTTGTTGCGTAATGGAAACACAGTTTGCGGAGTGTCCTCATACTTGATCCTGCTGATAAATCTCCTTTCCTTGGAGATATAAAAGCAGGCTGCAGCCAATCATGTCTTGAAACTAACATGTATAGGGCTCCTATATTTCCTCATAAGGTGTCATCAACGGACTATTTGTTGGTTCGTTCTGCAAAGGGAAAGCTTTCAATAAGACAGATTGACAGGCTTGATGTTGTTGGACAACAGGTAACATTGGTATTTTTTTGGGGCTTAATTTACTGAAACTTGCTTTTTTTTTTTTTTTGAACGGCACCTAACTATTTAAAGAATGCTTTTTGATGATTTTCTTATTACTCATCCAATCATTGCCGATGATGCAATTTTTTGCTTATGTTGATCCTCCCTGTTTGTTTAGATCTTCTTGACCTGGGAATTATAAAGTGTAATTACTTTTGTTTTGTTTTATGTGCACACTAGTTTTTCTCTCCTTGTACTATATTTGCATGTGAATGCAGTATCAGGTGCAGGGGACTTCTTGAATTATTATGTCTAGGCATTTGGTGTCCTTTGAATGGAAGGACTGCATTATTATTATTATTATTTTTATTTTTATTTTTTTGAGACGGCACCACATAGCCGTTGCAAACGCGACAGGTATTTTTTTGAGACAACTTTTTGCGACGGTACTCTTTGCCGTCGCCAATACTCTTTAGCGACGGCGCATCATGCTGTCTCAAATATTTTTTAACAACAGCAGGTCTCCCGTCGCAATAAAAATTCTTTAGCGACGGTATTTTTTGCTGTCGCAAATAACATCTTTAGCGACGGCAACATAGTGCCGTCTCAAAAAATTTAAGATTTTTTCATATTAAAGGCGACGGAAAAATGCTGTCGCAAAAAGGCAACTTTGCCGTCGCAAAAAAAAGGCAACGGTAACGTGCCGTTGTAAAACCTTTTTGCAACCCCCTACTTGTCGTCGCTAAAAGTCATTTGCCGTCGCAAAAATCCTTTTGAGACGGCATTTTGAGTATTTGTGACGGTGTTTTGCCGTCGCAAAAAGTCAAATTTTTTGTAGTGTGCTTCATGATTGGGAGAGTTTCATGAGGATTAGTGTTGCCGATCAAATATTTTATTGTTTCCTTCTGAATAATACTTTACATGATGAATTTATAACCAAACTGGCCTGTATTCTTTTAATTTAATTGATCAACTGAAATAAGGAAGAACACACGGTTGCCTTTTTTATTGGCTTGCTCATAATTTTGAGATGTGATTTCATGTATGCCCATGTTATATTTTTGTGATGATCACGTGCGGAAAAAATTGTTGTTGTCCTTGGGAATTTATTTCTCTCTAATTAAGCATCCAATTGGAGAGGTGGTGTTGGAACAGATGGGTTTACTTCGATGATCTAAAGCATTTATTTGTAATGATCACATTTATTTTAAAAAATTAAACTTTTTTGTTGGTATGCTCTACTCAGCAAATCACTCAATACTATTTTTTAATTCTAAATTTTAAAAAAAAATTGTTAGTCATACTACTTTTTTCACAAAAAAAATGAACTAATTTGGTAGTTTATTTGGCATAATTATACCATGCCCTTTGTAATAAAAAAAATACCGAACAAAAAAAAAATCAACTTTTTTTTTTTTAGGTACTTACGTGTAGGTCTTAATAAGTGGACTTATTGTCTAATAGAATTTATGGAAAAAATTTGTCATAAAAAAATCACTAATTATAAGTTTTAACAACAATTTATAAAAATCATGACAAAAAAAGTCACTAATTATCAATTTTTTAGCGACATATATAAAAAATTGTCATAAAAAAATTATTTTTAGCGATAATTTTATCAAGATTTATTTTCAATAGGACTTGATGGGAATTAAGTCAAACTAAGGCCTCGTTTGGGAACCCTCCCTTTTAGTCAAAAAGTTAAAAAGTTACTAAATTAGTCAAAAAGTCAACAATTTATACAAAAAAGTCAAAGATTCTCTTTTTTTTCTATTTTTTGCATATCTTTTCGTAAAAAGCCAAAAAGTTATCTCAAACATACTAGTTTTTTTTAGTTCATATTTTAGTCAAATAACTAAAAAGTTACTAAATTAGCTTGTTTCCAAGCGAATACTATTTTTTAATTCTAAATTTAAAAAAATTGTTAGTTATACTATTTTTTTAACAAATAAAATGAACTAATTTGATAGTTTATTTGGCATAATTATACCATGCTCTTTGAAATAAAAAAATACCGGACATATTTTATTTTTGCCCATGTCTTTATTCAAAAAATGAACATGTCCATATTTTTAAAACTAAAATATTTTTTTGAACTTTCATTATTTTTATATCTATAATACACATGATTGGAAGAATGATGATAGTTAAGTAAGTTTATTAGGTAAAAACAAACGATAGACATAAACACAAAATGCAAAATGTCAACTTTAGCGTAGAGAGGAAGAGAGAAGATGAGGAGGCTAAAATTAGCATTAGCCTCTTATGTCAATTGAAATCTCATCAATTTGTCAATTTATCACTACCAAACATCTCATAACTTGTCTAGTTCTTTCATATTTGTCAATTAAATTGTATATATATTTTCACAGAAAAGCATTGAAACAGAATCAATCACACAAAAACATAAACAGAAACACTAAATCAATCGCTCAGAAATTAGAAAGAACGAGAGATATCGGATGAATTATCGTGCGTGTCGATATATATAGAGAGAAAGTCATATATCTATATATGTATATGTAGATCTTGAAATCCTAGGCAAGAACTAAAAATGCAACATAAGAGGGATGAAAACTTTGATTCATTCATCGCAAACAAAAGTTGATGAAAATCTTCAAAGAAATGTGTATAAATGTGGAGTAAGAGGGGGCATTACCAAGTCGAATTATGGTGATGAAGCTGGGAGAGCTCTTTCAAGTGCAGAAGTGAAAGGTGTTTGTAGAGAGAGAAGTGAAGTACTATTTGTGTATATATATAGAGGTGTAATGTTTCAGACCCCCACTGGGGGTGGCCCCCAGTACCCCCAGAGGGGTCTGATTGGTGCAATTTTTTTTTTTGTTTTTTGTTTTTTTTCTTCTTCCAATAACCAACCCCCATGTGTGTGTGGGGTGGTGGAGGTGGGGAAAATTGGGAGTCTCCATCAGTTCTCATATATAGAGGGAGAGAAACAATTTCAGGCTCTGTTTTCAGTTTCATCGCTCGCCCTTCGCAAGTTTTTTTTTTTTTTTTTTTTTTTTTTTTGGACTTGTAATAACCAAATTTAAGCGTTATTATGTTTGTATTAACTATTATTTAATTAGAATTCGATTAACAATAAATTTTGAATTTCGTCATTTTGAACAATAAAGAAACACATTATTATAAGGTGTTTTAATTTTTCACTTTCATGTCACCACATTAGCATTATAGAAGTAGGAAAAAAAAATGGCAAAAAACTTTTTGGTAACAAATAAGAGCAAGATAAACTTTTCAAAAAAAATTATTAACTTAGTTGAATTTTGTACTTTTATTGTATCACACAACTAGTTAAATATATGATTTTAAATATCACAAAACTAATGATTGAATGAGGATAAAATCTTTATTAAATCATTTATCTAATTTATATCAATAATGCAATTTATCTATCAAAATTATTTTATAATTTCATAAAATATAATTTTGTTTTCTCCAATATCTCATTTTATTATCCAATTTTTTTTTATAAAAACTAATATAATCTTAATTTAATTTGACAAAGTTGCATGTTCAATCACAACCATGGTGGATATGCAGTTTATAAAGAAAATCGAGTTCCAAGAGTTTGTTAAATTACATTTGCATTATCTAAAGTATTGATTAAATTCCATTTTAGACTTTAATTTTTTTTCTTCGGTTTGATAATTAAAATATTTAAATTGTGTCAATGTGGTTTAATTGATTGTTGACCAGGAACATAATTGTGGAAAAATGTAATACTTTATGAGGAAAGGGGTGCCTGCTTGACTGTTGTGCGGTAAAACGTGCGTTTTGTTTTTTTTTTTTGGCAACATAATATTTCTTTGTTTTGTTTTTTTTTGTTGGTGTGTGCTGCTATTGGTTACTTTTTGGTTTGAGCACACCTGTCAACATTACATTATTTTAAGAAAAATTAACAAAAATAATAAAGGAAAATTATAAAAATAAAAAATAAAAAATCTCAAAATTTGGTCTTTGTAACAAAAGAAATAATGAGTTTTTAATTTTATTAATTTAAACTTTAATTTTTTATTTGTTTTTAATTTAAACTATTGACCTATTTTCATTAGGTAAATTGATAGAAAATAATATTTTAGACATTTTATGTATATTTATATTGAGTTTAATGACTAAAAGAAAAATTGTGAGTTTTACCTAACAAAAATAGATGAATTGTTGAGATTAAAAACAAATCAAAACTTTTAAGTTTAAATTGATAAAATTAAAAATTCATAATTTATTTTATTACAAGGATCACTATTTGGATTTTATTTTTATTTTTTTTATAATTTCTTCAAATAATAATAATAATAATAATAACAACAACAACAACAATAATATTGTACTCATTCAGACAAATCAATAATAAAAAAAAAAATCATAAAATCCTTAAAAAATTACTGTTAAATTTACTTGCAATGATGTGTATTATTACATATTATTTACTGATTTGTTGAAAAATCAACCAATATACTCTGATAAATATCAATGTCAAATAAAATATAACTAGTCTCATTTAATTTTTAAAAACATTAAAAATGTAATACTCAATAAATAATAAATTTCAATTCATGTGAATTTTCAAAAATAAAATAAAAAATATGCAAGGAGATATTTCTTCTTATTACAATAAATGTCTATAAAGATTTGAAAATTTTTATTTTGTTTTGTTTTAAACCAAAAAAATAAAAAAAATGGAAGAAGAAGAAATTGTGTCGTTTGGCATGCACAGCACACTCTGTTGTGCTTAGAGCACAGCAGGTACCCCTTGTCCTACTTTATGAGGCAAAATTAAAATTCAACGGGAAAGTTTCAATGTCACGTGGAATTCATTGTCAGTTGACAAAATTGGACCATAATGATTATTTTATTTAATAATTTTTTAATAAATTAAATGTGAGAATGTAATAAGATAATTATTTTATTTTATTCTTGAAACATCTCCAATTCTTTATATATATATATATTTTCCATCAAATTTATTCAACAATTTAAATTAAAAGCACGATTTGATATATAGCTCACTTTTCTAAAATCAAAATTTTCATCAAATATTTTTAAAAATACCTAACCCATCTAAAAACCTTATTTAACAAATTCAATGAAAAAAAAATAATTTTCAATCCTTCATCTGTTAATAATTTTTTTAAATTTAAGTAAAAATAATTATTAAAAATTTGATGAATAAATTAGATCTAATTTTTATCAAAATTTTAATTAAATTTAAAATTTGGCGACTTTAAAATTTATCCTCATTTGGCAACTTTAAATTTTAACTCCTATTTGGCGAATGGATTGGCTTTTAGTTGAGACTAAAAAAGTACAAAAAGATAAAATAGACTAAATAAGTCAATAAGGTAAAATTTTACATTCAAACCATAATCATTTCACTTTTTTTCTAAAACAAACAAAAAAGTTAAAAAATTCTTTCCAAACGTAGCTAATTTAGCCTAGCTAAATTAGGCAAAGAGTCAAAGAGTCAAGCTAAAATAGTTCTTTACAAACGAACCCTAGCTAAAAATTAAAAGTTAATAAATTATATAAAAAAGTCAAAAATTCGATTTTCTCTTTACTTTTTACACTTTTTTTTAATAATAATTTAAAAAGTCATTCTAAATATACTAATTTTTTTTAGGAGCATTTACATACAAGTCTTAATTTATGAACTTATACTTCATCAAGTCATAATTAAAAAAATTTGGATTTTCAAGTTCCATTAAATTTTTAATAGTTAGAATTGTCCTTCAAACAATGATTGTTCATTATTTATGATTATTTATAAAAAAACATGATAATTTGATATTTATTCTAATTTTCAAAATTTTGAAACATCAACTTTAAAATTAAAAAAACAAAAAAAAAAAATTATGTGAAAAAAAAAAAAAAACTAAAAGTATGCACGATTGATCCTGATTCAAGCTTTTTTTAAAATTGGCTCAACTTTTAAACTTTTTTTAAAGAATATATATTGGTAAAATATTAAAAATCTTCAATTTATTTTACAAAGTACATTCCACTATTCCAGTATGTATGATTGATCCCGAT